TGTGGTCGAGAAAGTGATAAAAGATCAACTATCTGATCACTTACTCAGGGAGGGTCACACTGACCCCTCTCAACATGGCTTCATTAGAACTAGGTCATACACCACATGTCTGTTAGATTTTTTTAATGAGGTCACCAGCATACGTGATCGAAAGCAACTAGTAATCGTGTTGTATTTTGATATCAAAAAGGCTTTCATAAGGTACCTCACAATCTCTTAATCGACAGACTTCAGTCCGTCGGGATTACTGGCCACCTGTTGCAATGGATTAGGTCGTTCCTCATAGATAGATATCAGATTACCAAAATCAACTCTAATACATCTACACCTCGACCAATCACCAGTGGTGTTGTACAGGGCAGTGTTTTGGGTCCACTACTTTTCATAATCTAAATCAACAGCATATGCACTTGTTTCAGCACTGGTAAAACCTACCTCTATGCGGATGACCTAAAAGTGATTTATCAAACTAGCAAATTTGACTTAGGAAACTTGTTGCACACAATCCAGCTCGAACTCAATACTGTAGATGTCTGGTGTAAACAATGGAACCTTGAACTTCATACTGAGAAGTGTGGCTGGATGTGTTTCGGAGACACGTCTCCCAAATTAGATCTCAATCTCAACAGAAATGTATTGCCCAAACTCACATCCGTAACTGATCTTGGAGTGGATTATTCGCACAACCTTAACTTCTCCGAACATATCTCCAATAAAGTTTCCCGAATGAGAAGAATGCTTGGTTTCATCTTTCGTAACTTCCTTCATAGAGAATCCAGAACGATTCTCTGCAAAACATGCGTAAGACCTATTGCTGAATACTGCTCCTTCTTACTTTCTAACCTACGCCTGTCTAATATATTGAAGCTTGAAGGGATAAAAAGGAACTTTACTCGGAAAGTGCTAAATCATAGATCACTCATTGACTATCCAACCCGAAGTATTGAACTCGGGCTCGATCCATTATGGAAAAGAAGGCTTAAGTCCAGTCTGATCCTTTACTTTAAACTCCTGCACAAGCTCACATATTCCTCCTGCAGTTTAGTTCTAGTCCATGGCCCATGTACACATAAACTTCGAGATAAAGTATCTACGGTCAAACTTGAGAAGTATAGATCCAAAACTCGAGAAAACTTCTTCCTCTCTAAGTATGCACTTATATGGAATTGGCTTCCCTCAAAAATACGCATGGCAAGTGGGTTACATAAGTTTGTTCAACTTCTTAATGATGCTCTCAGTTGCACTGACTCTTCTGCACTCGTGAACTCACTCGCACCCTGCTTTCATATTATTAGCTCTGCATACACTTTAAACACAATGAACTCAGTGCTGCGTCTTATTTCGTTATTTATACCCTCCCAAGTAGCAATAAATTTTTCTAGTTGAATATAAATCTCTTTAGCTTTTATTTGAAATAGACAGGTTACTCTACTCACTGGGTCGATCGACACTGTTCAACTGTAAACTGGTTGGTTGGAACGCACTCTACTTTCCTGGGCGCAACCTTATCAACACTTACAACTGTGTGAGTTTCACATTGCCTATTATCAATTATACTGTTCTAACTTACACGCTATTGACTTACCTTGATCCCTTAGTGTTATCTATTGCTCAACTTTCAACCGTGATACTCTTTATATCTCCTGCTTAGCTAGTTAAGTACATCTCCCCCACTACATTCTAAATGCTTATGTCTTGTTTGAAAATCCTTACTATTTCTCCATAACTGTAAACTGTATATCATTGATGCCTAACCAATAGTTCACAAGTTGTAATTGCCAGACAAGTTTGTGAAAGGAACTTGCAGAAATAGTGTTTCTCAACAGGATGTGAGACATAGAGCACCAAGTAGAATTCAATAGTTTCTTTTAATTATTTAACATGAGCCTAACAACACAAAAGGAGGGAGGGTGGAGTTACTGACCAGCAAACATTGATGGTGAGGGCGATGACTTCAAATAAGCCATGTTTGTGGGACAGAACATTTTGTTTGCATTCGGATCTTTAGATTGATGAGACGACTAATCAGTAACACTGAGGTCGCACTTATACGCTTGCTACTTCTGCGGTTCATGTTTTCGAAACTATGCTGAGGTCGCTATTCTGTGGAGACATCCACAACATGCTTACTCAGGCGCTTACATTATGACTTAGAGGTTGTCATTCACTATTAATAATAACAATAATAATAATAATAATAAACAGTTAGAAAGTGAGAACTCTTAGTCAACGTACATAAATCCAGCTTCTTACTTCAACTTCTCTGCTATCCACTTGACGCGCGACAACTCTTCCTTCTTCTTTGCTGTACTCCTTCATCTGTGGGTTATATTCTTATATTCCCATAATTTACTTTAATTTCACTGGTCAGTATGGATTTTATCTTGACTTACTACTGTATTGACTACTTCAACATGACAGGTTAAGTAGTGCTTCAGAACCTCAGATTCGTTCGATCGTCAGTCATTTCAAACCTGATAGACTGAGTGATTTTAGTGAGTTATTAATAGCCTTGAAATCTTGATCACAGTAAAAATTTTTGTTCTTTAATGCATTTTAATATGTACCGTGAGTCTTCATCGACATATGCGTTAAACGTATTTAGCCATTATAAATGGGGTACCTTAATGTTCTGTTGTAGTGTCCTTTATATAAAAACTTAAAAAATACGATTAGGGTTGATCAGATCGAAAAACATTGTCTGGCTATATCGATTTTCGCAACTAAACTCTTTTCAGTGATTTTAATTTTCTGATTTGATTAGATGAAATTATCTATATTTTGTGGTTGGAAATTTGAAGTAACTTAACTGGAAATCAACCAAAAATAATTGCAATATATTGAGTTCTCGTCTTTGTTGTGGATGTTAGATCCACAGAACTCACTTCATCAATATCTTCATTTTGGTTTGATTTCATGGACCGATCAGTTTACCTTGAGATAACATTGCCCACCAGGAAAATCCTTGGCTGTGTTTGGTTACTGTGTCATTTTAGTGTGCTATTTTGTGACTATCCCAAGGACGTCTCTATAGAGTATAAATAAACGCAATTCGAGAACTTGAATTCATTGTGTGCTTGCTGGGTGTTTGTAGAATACAATTTCCTTACTATAGCAAGACGTCTTGCTGATTCGACTTGGTCAAGGGATCACAGCAGCCTAGCTTGACGCTGGTTCATTGTTTTGTTCTCGTTATTCGACTAAGGTGAACTCGTAATAGTTGAAGCATACTTAGAGACGAGCGTAACAATTCGGCGCCGGCGTTTTGACAAACTTTCTAGTGAATTATTATGGATGCAGCTAAATTAGATAAATTGTTTGCACAACAGCTGAAATCGATGGAGATACTTACTCAGACGCACGGCTCTTCTCAAGTCTCATCTACATCGACAATTCCTCAGTCAGTTGATGGTATGATCAGTGGTATTTCAGAATTTCTTTATGATTCTGACCCCAATATTCCATTTAATACTTGGTTCAGGCGTTATGAAGGCCTTTTCAGTGTTGATTTTGCTGACAGAGATGATTCCTTGAAGGTGCGTCTTCTCCTTAGAAACTTGGTCCGTCAGGACTGGCACGTATTGCAACTAAATCCTCCGCACAACCCATGCGACCGTTCATTCGATGCTACCGTTCAGTCCATCAGCAAACGTTTTGGTGATCAGCATTCTA